AGAGATCATTTACTTGAACCATATTTTGTAAACCACATAATGTTGACAATTAATGGTTGAAATTTTTGTTTAAATCATTAAACAAGGTATCCAACCATCATCGACTACATCATGTAACCTACAAAATATAACCTAAAAGCATAGTCTCCCTACCATTTACCAATCTTAAACCATGATGTTGTATTGAATCAACCTATCACCACCACTACTCCCAAGTTCCAACTCTAAAAAAAATAAAATCCTTGAAAGTTCACAATGATAGAGAAAGTGGAAGTTGGTCACTGGGCCCTTTTCTTCACGTCCAATTGGTCCAAGCACCCCAGCAACACAACTTACCCATCAAGATATGCACAGTACACCGAAAGCTTAACATAAACCCGGCCGCAGACTAGTAATATTCATTAGGGTTTTTAAGATCAGGTTTTGTCACTTGTATTTCTCTGTGCCGCATCGGTTTGGGTTTTCAGCAGCCACAACGCCACCAGCAGCAGCAAATTTTCACTCCAACTTTCTTTGCTCCCAAACAGCAAACTCTAAACCCTAAAATCCCCAGCAGCCAATCTCCGATTCATGGATTCGAATAATCAGTGAAGGGTTTCGTGGTTGCTTTTCAAAGTCGGTGGGAATTTTGTAGGGTATTGAATCGGACTTTTCGGAGCTGCAGAAATGGCAACCGCGAACCCTTTCGATCTCTTGGGGGATGACGACAATGAGGACCCAAGTCAACTTCTCGCTGCTCAGCAGCAGAAGCTGCCGGCGGCGCAGCCCAAGAAACCCCATCAGACCCAGCCTGCTCAGCCTGCTAAGCTTCCCTCCAAGCCACTCCCCCCTGCACAATCTGGTCTCTTTTCTATTCATTTCTTTGCTGCTTAACTTCATTTCTGGGTTTTGTTTGCTGAAAACAATGTTGGGTTTGCTTGGAAATGGAGATTAAAATTTGCGTTTTAATCTAGTTGTTATCCTATTCTCACTTGTTGGATTCCATCGAGAAAATGATTTTTTTTTTTTGTTTATTTAATATGTTTTTTTTTTGTTGAAGTTGAAAGTGGTTGTTTTGATAAGTTATTGATATTTGGGGGATTCTTCATTGATATTGTACATATCTGATGAGATGCGGTGTTGAGTTTTCAGTATGTGTGGCAGTGGATGTTCATAGTGTTTGGTTTTCTAGGGTAATTAGCAAAGACTGTATTGGGTTTTTATTGTGGTAAAATTTCCATCTCCAAATTGAGATTGAACCATTAGAACTGGTAAATTGAAATCTAATGAATCGTGGCACGATCGTGCTTTTAATGTCTCAGTTTTTATGCTAGACATCTGATTGATTATTATCTTATTAAGAGGTACAGTCAGGGGATGCCAGTTAACGGAAAATATTTTGTTTTTAAGTACTTTGAGATGGTAAGCCCTTATTCTTATAGTTCATGTGGCTCAAATTTAAAAATAAACTGTCGAATTTATGTTGGTTTAGCAGAGGTTTCATTAATATTTTATTACACATTAGTAGTGAAGTTTTTCTGCTCAATAACATGTGCTTTTTGTCGAGATACTGGAAAGGTTTTTTGTGGTCCTCTCTTGAATCACATATGTATGGTTATATTTTATACATATAATGTTTTAATTATTATGCATATCAAATAACCGTGTGTAACATATGCAGTGAGGGAGGGAAAGTATGAAGGTGGCCGTGGAGGTGGAGGTGGCCGTGGTAGTGGCGGTGGACGTGGGTTCAGTCGTGGGCGTGGTGGAGGAGGTGGTGGTGGTGGATTTAATCGAGATCCAATCAGCAATGAGAACACCAATGGTTTTTCTGGTGGCTACAGACCATCTGAAGAGGGAGATGGGAAAGCCTCTGAAAGACGTGGTGGCTATGGTGCTCCTCGTGGCTCCTTCCGTGGTGGGCGTCGTGGTGGTTACAAGAATGGTGAGGATGGTGAAGGGGAACGCCCTCGGAGGGTTTTTGATCGTCACAGTGGTACAGGACGTGGGTTAGTAATTTACAATCAGTTCTGTATATATTTAACTTTTCACATGTGGATCTTCTTGCTTTCTTCATTTTGATATTGAATATATTTTTAATATCAGGAGTGATATTAAGCGTGAAGGGTCTGGACGGGGGAATTGGGGAACACCCTCTGATGACATTGCTCCGTAAGTATTTATATTCTGATTTCAAGATAAATTTCAAACTAGAACTTAACGAAACAAACTGTTTCACATTTGTTTGGTATGTACCTTACTTTTGCGTACACATTTTTGTTATATATTAGGGAGATTGAGGAGCCTGGCACTGAAACTGAGAAGAATGTTGGTACTGAGAAGCAGTCGGGAGAGAATGAGACTGCAGATGCCAATAAGGATAGCACTGTGAATGAGACGGAAGAGAAGGAGCCTGAGGAGGAGAAGGTAAATTATATTTTTTCACATTGTTGATGTTACTTTTCTGGATACCATAGATATAACGGCTGCAATTGGATTTTCTGATCGTATCCTTGTATTAAACTCTTACACTGTTTCGCATTGTTGTAGGAAATGACATTGGAAGAGTACGAGAAGGTGCGTGAAGAGAAGAGGAAGGCTCTGCTTGCATTGAAGACTGAGGAAAGAAAGGTTGATGTAGACAAAGACTTGAAGGCCATGCAGCTGCTTTCAAACAAGAAGGAAAATAATGAAATCTTTATCAAGCTGGTAGGTGATGGATACCCTAGATATACTACTCTTTTATGCGATATGGCTATCATATTTACTTTGCTATTGTTTATCAGGGTTCTGAGAAGGATAAGCGCAAGGAGGCTGCTGAGAAAGAAGAGAGAGCCAAGAAGGTTGCCTTTTCATTTTATTCCTGATTGGTTTTTTAATTCTGTGGTTCTATTCTGTTTCTCGAGTGATTATTCCTTTCGTAGCTATGTTACCAGATATTTTGTGTTGAGAATTTGGACATTAGTTGTCCTGTACCTGAAACTTTTAGTGCTTAGTCACCGTTGGTTATCAAAACGGGTACATCAGGGTTAAACTTGGAGGATAGTATTGGTTTCCAATTGTTGAAATGATCAGATGACTGACTGTTATCCATATTTGTGTGCAGTCTGTTAGCATTAATCAGTTTCTGAAGGCCACTGAGGGTGAGAGGTACTATGGTGGTCGCGGTCGAGGCCGTGGTCGTGGGCCAAGAGGTGGATACAGTGGAGGACCTGGAGGTTATTCGAGCAATGTGGCAGCTCCTTCCATTGAGGATCCCGGGCAGTTCCCCTCCCTCGGTGGGAAGTGAGAGGTTCCTGGTTCTTCCAGCTCTATGCTTTGAATGCATTTGGGTGTTTATGTGATACCATTAGAGTGGCAGACTACTCACAGGAGAATATTAAGAACTATTTTAATTATCTATGCACTTTTTTGAGTGGCAGACTAGTCGTCATGCATCAGTTTTGAGTTGGAATAGGTTAAGAACCGAGTCTGTTTCTTCATGCTTTACTTTAAATCTTTCTTGCTTCAAATGGTTGTGCTAATTATTCTGTTCTCTCTATTCTCTAATAGTCCGATGAGATTAACGCACGGTCTTATACGCTCTCTTGATCTCTCATATCGTGTTCTGAGTTACGCTATGAGAGGGAGAGAGCGGTATAAGTAATCTGCAACGGACTATTTGAGAAACAGTTAGCTTGTTTACCCGTCGATTGGGACTCTATCGGTTGATGTGGGGCTGGTATTAGCCCACATAGTGTCTCGCTAGGTAAAATGATGTGGTGACGCATAATCCGTCTTACCAATTCTCTTGTGGTGTCATAAGTTCCTGTAAGAAACAAACTCTTAGGCCTTCCGCAATGACTCGGAAAATTGAGTTTGATTCTAATTTTATAAAATCAAACTCCTGTAGTTGGTGGGAAAATTTGAGTTTTTAAAACGATGAGCGTGAATGCTATTGATGAGTTCAATACATGATCAATTACTTGAGAGAGAATAATTAAAGGATAAAACTCATTGCAATCAAACTCAAGTGCCTAATCTAACCAAAACGTTTTTACCATTTCAGTCAACTTCTGTTTTTGAGTCAACCTTTAGATAATATTTTGTAAATCATGACTTGATTGTAGATAATTGAATTATCACTTAAGTGTTGATTAACGTGCTTATTTTCTATTAATGACACACCGTATGCTTTACAAATTTGGTCTAAAAAGTTAGTTTATCCAGCATTGCTTTTTTAAATTGGATTCGCATTACAATTCATAAATAGGATATTGTTATAGTATGTTCTATATAGAGTAATGACATGCTTACACACTTTGGAGATAGTCACGAGTCGTGCAAGTAAAAAACAAAACAAAACAAAAGAATGAATGAGAATGTAATCGACCATTCCTCCTCGATCAATATAATTTATGATTTTTGAAATATTGGACTACAAAGTGTAAAGGGGATCTACGTATTTTTCGATTAAATGTATTAAAAACGTAGGAGAAGTCATTATTAGAACAATTTTACTACCTATGCTTTAGTAAATAAAGTGGTTGTGAGAAATCAAAATAATTTTAACATCAGTTTCAAACCATTACAAGAATGTCCAAGTATTCTTCTCTCATTTTTATAATTTATTTTTAATTTGTTAACCATGGTTAAACCACAAATGTCAAACAAAGACTTATAGATGGTTCGGTTAGAATATGCAATTTATGAGAAAGAGGCTCATGGGAAAAATGGTAGAGGAAGGTCTAGGAAGACTTGGAAAGTGAAAAAATGCATGAAGTACGGGGAGCTAATAGAAGATTTGACACAAACGGAGTGCAATAGCGTTTCAGAAGTACTTGGAGCTAATAGAAGATTTGACACAAACGGGGAGCTAATAGAAGATTTGACACAAACGGAGTGCAATAGCGTTTCAGAATTCATGCAGCCCACTCTACTTAGTAGGATAAAAATTTTTTGTTGTGGTTAAACATGGGGCGCAGGGTACCCACCAGGTCAGTCTCCGAATACAAGATGGGGTGTTGTATGCACAACAAGTCCGTTGTAGTCTAGTTGGTCAGGATATTCGGCTCTCACCCGAAAGACCCGGGTTCAAGTCCCGGCAACGGAAAAATCGTTTTTCCGTTTTGATTTTCAAGATCCGGCGAAGTATAAACAATCGTTGCATCAATCGGACCTTAATCTTTGAGTAAGAGTTGTAAACTCAATCCTTTTGTTTTCTCACTGCAAAGTTGCCAACCATGGCAAATCTTAGAAACACAAAACCACAACCGTGGTTGGTGTGCAAAATTTTCCCACCAACCAAACACCAAACCGGCCCGCTCTCCACCTTCACAATCCAAAACCCTCATTCCAATCCAAACAAAGAAGCTCTTCCCGCCAACTTCCCCTCCTGCCCACCACAACAAACCCACTTGGCGTCAACCAGTAACAGTTTCTGCAATCAATCTAAACCGTTTGATCAACGTGAGTTTGGTGATGTCATTAAGTCAAATAAGATGATCACCAGCTACATTCGAGCTGGAGATTTAGATTCTGCTCTTGGGGTGTTCGAGAAGATGACGGTAAGGACGACAGTTACTTGGAATTCGATTTTATCCGGGTATGCGAAAACACCGGGGAAAATGAAAGAAGCCTGTGAGGTGTTCGAGAAATGTCCTGCACCAGACTCTTGTTCGTATAATATTATGTTGGCTTGTCATTTGCACAATTTGGATGTTGATGCTGCTTTGAAATTCTTTCATAAGATGCCGGTTAAGGACACGGCGTCCTGGAATACTATGATGTCGGGTTTTGCTGAAAACGGGAAGATGAGGGAAGCTCGTGAGCTGTTTTCGGTGATGCCAGAGAAGAACAGTGTCTCGTGGAGTGCAATGATTTCGGGGTATGTGAAATGTGGGGATTTGGACATGGCTGTGGAGTTGTTTGAGGTGGCACCGGTTAAGAGTGTTGTGGCGTGGACTGCTATGGTTACAGGGTATATGAAGTTTGGGAAGATTGAATTGGCCGAGAAATTGTTTAGAGATATGCCAGTGAAAAATTTAGTATCTTGGAATGCTATGATATCAGGTTATGTTGAAAATTGTCGAGCTGAAGAGGGTTTGAAAATTTTTAGGTCAATGATCGGATATGGGGTTAGGCCAAACCCGTCAAGTTTGAGTAGTGTTCTACTGGGTTGCAGTAACCTATCAGCATTGAAGATGGGTAAGCAAGTGCATCAGCTGGTTTATAAATTTCAGTTATATAATGATACAACTGCAGGGACCTCTTTGGTTAGCATGTATTGTAAGTGTGGTAATTTGGAGGATGCTTGGAAATTGTTCATTGACATGGAACGAAAGGACGTTGTTACTTGGAATGCAATGGTTGCTGGTTATGCTCAGCATGGAGCAGGTCTTAAAGCTCTGCAGTTGTTTGATCAGATGAGGAATGAGGGAAAAGAGCCAGATTGGATAACGTTTGTTGCTGTGTTAATGGCTTGCAACCATGCAGGATTAGTGGATCTTGGGGTTCGGTATTTTGATTCAATGGCAAGGGATTACGGAGTTGAAGCAAAGCCAGACCACTATACGTGTATGGTAGACCTTCTTGGTCGAGCTGGTAAGCTAGTTGAAGCTGTGGATCTGATTAAGAAAATGCCATTTGAACCACATTCTGCCATTTTTGGAACTCTTTTGGGTGCTTGTCGGATCCACAAGAACTTAGAGCTAGCTGAGTTTGCTGCCAAGAAATTGCTCGATCTTGATCCAGCGAGTGCAGCTGCATATGTTCAACTTGCTAATGTTTATGCTGCAACAAACAGATGGGACCATGTTGCGAAGGTCAGGCGATTGATGAAAGAAAATAGGGTAGTGAAGACACCTGGGTATAGTTGGATTGAGGTGCAGAGTGTAGTGCATGAGTTCAGATCAGGTGATAGAGCACATCCAGAGTTGCCATCTATACACGAAAAACTATTTGAGCTCGATCGCAAAATGAAGTTGGCAGGCTATGTTCCAGATCTTGAATTTGCATTACATGATGTCGGGGAAGAGCAGAAACAGCAACTTCTGTTATGGCACAGTGAAAAACTAGCAATTGCATTCGGGCTTATAAAAGTGCCGTTAGGAAGCCCTATTCGCATCTTCAAAAACTTGAGAATATGCGGGGATTGCCATCGTGCCACCAAGTATGTATCAGCAATTGAAAAAAGGGAAATAATAGTTAGAGATACCACAAGGTTTCATCATTTCAGAAATGGGGTTTGTTCTTGTGGAGATTACTGGTAAAGGTGCAAAAATCGGTAGGCTCCAATGCTAGTTTTCCCTGCAGTGTTCCAGTTGACCAGCGGTGCTTGGTGGGCAAGCAAAGCAGTACTCCCATGGATGTCTCAAAGGGATAATGAGGGTCATAGCAATCTGCTCAACGAAATCACTACACATACTTCAGGCAAAACTCCACACATCTACACGTAATAGACTGTCTTGCGACCTCTGCTCGGAGTCCTTTCTGAATCCGACACCCCAGATGACACCGTCCGAGCTTACACTGCCGTTTGAAGTTTTGTGACTCGCACAAGCTTAGGAAGGATTTTCTGAGACCTACGAACTCCATGCCAACCTTCTTTGTTCTGTAGAATGAGAGTGCAGATTAAATTCACAAGAATATATTCTCTCTTTTCGTTTTCTTTTTATTTAATGAGGAAGCGGTTTAAACCCTACAACCTGACGACTGAAGAGAGATACCACTAGACAAAAAACTAGTTAGTATTCTAGTTGGTATTCGATCGAACATGGACGGAAGAGGTTTGTTGAGTCATTACAGTTGGCACTGGAGGACAATATTTGTCAAAAAGGGAGATATAATCCATGCCGTACTAAACTCATATCGATCGCAATGCAGTTGCTGAAATAATGGAAAATAAATAATGCATCTTTCACATTTAGGGGAACAGAACAAGGCAAATACTTCTATTCACCAATATTCCTAATTTGTACAAAGTTTTCGAAAACAAATACATTAAAAGAATGGAAGCTTTAACAAAGTGCTGACAACTGACAAGAAGAGAATCACGACGAATAATCATCTTCATATCATAACGTTAAGATGAAACAACTAGTTTTACATGCCACGAGGAACACTGGATATACTCATCATTCCCCCACCCCACCAATTATATTCCTCCCCCCCCCCCCCCCCCCCTCTAAGAAGAGCAGCAACCAGACTTTTGGTTCACAGGCTGTCCCCTAATCTGCACTGTTGGAGGCCTGGCGTTGTTCATCGGTTGGCTTGCCATCCTGCAGGTAAAATGTTTAGAAGTCAGGCGGGCTAGAACCACGCAATCATAACTATTGCAGACTCAAATTTTACAAGCATATGTTGCTAAATGAGCAAAATTATGAGAAGACAGGTTCCTGCTGAGCTATACAAAGACGACAAAAAAAAATGCATATAAGTACCTGTTCTTGATCTCAGCAGCCATAGCCATGAAGGCCTGCTCAACATTAGTGGAATTCTTAGCACTTGTTTCCATGAATGGGATTCCAATTTCATCTGCAAATGCCTAGAGAAAGGAAACAGAAGAAAAAGAAAAAAAAATCATTGTACTTCGCATCTCCAAGAATGGGTTAAAGAACCAGCAACAGTATACAATACGTAAAACTTAGAATCTCCTCGTCAATATTTACCTTGGCTGTCTCATAGGACACAACTTTATTTGCCGTAAGATCGCACTTGTTTCCAACTAGAAGTTTGTTCACGTTTTCACTTGCATATCGGTCGATTTCATTCAGCCATTGCTTAACGTTGTTGAAGCTCTCTTGGTCTGTGACATCATAAACAACCTGCAAGACACCCAACAGCATACGACCAATATCCATCTTACATAACCAGCAAAGAAGAAAAAATAACAAATTATGAGGCAACCACACACTTACAATGATACCATGAGCACCACGGTAGTAGCTGCTAGTGATTGTCCTAAATCGTTCTTGGCCAGCAGTATCCCACTGCACACCCCAAAAGAACAAGCAATTAAAAATTGACCACAGAAAAGGCGAGATGAGACATTGTTCACATAACTTGTTAAACTTAACATAACTACAGTTTCATTTGAAAATATCCAAACAAGATACCAACTTCATCATGATAGATAACTTCGACAGAACAAATCTCAGTATGTGGCGCATTAAACAATAACACCATAAAACCTTACAATTTGAAGTTTGATAGTCTTCCCATCCTGCTCCACAGTGCGAATTTTCTAAACAACACAATAGATAACACAGCGATTAGCGAGAGTGGAAACAAAGAAATCAGTGTAGTAAAACTCAATAAATTCTTACAAAGTCAACTCCAATTGTGCTGATGTAGCTATCCAAGTATGAATCATCCTGGTTTGCGAAAAAAATGAAATACATCAATCAGAAGGCAAAAATCTCAATCACCGTAAAGCAAATCGCAACGACCGAAAGAAAATTAAGAAATTCGATGACTAATCGACTACAACTTACAGCAAACCGCAGAAGTAGACATGACTTGCCGACACCGGAATCTCCAATTAGCAAAAGCTTAAACAAATAGTCACTGCACACAATTCAAAACTCAAGTTACTCATCACAATTCACAATTCACAATCCCTAAACTGTATACAACAATCAAAATTATCAAGAACAGCAACTCGACCCCACAATTTTACATGAATTACGAATCTAACAGAAAATTTCAACGGATCTGATCACCCGTTGTCTGGATCTACACTCCAAAACCCTCAATTATGCAGAATAAAATTCAGAAAATTAAATTAAACTAAACTTTCCAATAAAATTGAGGTTCTAAAATCATCGCATACAAAATCGAATTCGATCTTTAACATAAAATTAAAATACAAAATTTAAAAAACAAATTAGAAGAATCGTGGGATTGAACTCACTATTCGGGATTCATGGCTGGGACTTAGAACGAGTCGGAGAAATTGGGGAGAAATTCTAGTCCCAGCGAGCAGTTGCCGCGATGCCTGAGATCTTCGCCGGAGAGCCGGATAGAGAGAAGGGAAGTGGAAGAGGAAGACGCAGAGGATTGTGAAGAAGGAGAAACCGAGGAGGAGGGAGGGAGGGAGGGAACGAAGAAACGAGACGATGTTGCCTTTTGGTGCGTATCGTGTCTGTATAGTATTATAAAGGGGCACCTATAATGTCGGAATTTTGTGTCTCGTGCCTGTGACGTAGTAACAGGGACCTGATTCCGCCACGTGTAATCTTCTTTATTTTGAATAATGGTAGGAAAATCAAAATTTTAAATCAAATTGTGTAAATCAAATTATGTAGTTTCTGATGATTGAATTATTAATTAAGTGTCGTTTAATCAAAATTTAATTAATAATTCAATTATCAACATCCACATAATTTAATTTAGAAATTTGATCTCTTTAACATTATTCTAAAATATTTGTAAGAAAAAAATTAGGGATTTAGCGTTTCCTCTATTCAATTTCTTGCCCATCTATTTTTTGCTCATTCCAAGGTACAGTTGTCTATCAATTTTAGGGTTCTGTCGGTTAGAAATTTTAGATTCTTTTATGTACATTGGCGGAGCCAATAATAAGGACCCAAGTGGTCCCTAGCTCCTTAGGAGCCCCATGCCAAATCGTTTAGACCTTGGCTTCTCTTTCTCATTTGAAATCATGATGGCCTTGACACATTTGTAGACGATAGATTTTAGTTGGAAAAGATGAGGTTTTGAGCTCAAAGAAGCACCGTATTAATCACATCGAATAATTTCTATCTTATATTTGTTTTTTTTAAATTTTCATCTCGTTTTTATTTGAAACTCACACATGTTTAATTTAATAATCAAAATTGTAACTTGTAGTTGAGCCAAAATCTAAATATCATGCTACCATTTTTTCTGCTTTTTAATGATGGCTTTAACATAATAGTCGTATGACACCATGAAAAATGTGTTTCGTGGCTTTATCATTTTAATGATTGTTTTTCATGAAACAATAATTAGTGTCCTAACTTCTATTTTTTTTTGGGTCAATTAGTGTCCTAACTTCAATAAAAGCGATGATGGCTCTCAAATTACATCGTATAAAGGTTTGAGTTCATTTCAATTTTAATTGTACATATCCAACCTGTATTAATTAACATGGTGGGTGTTATTGTTGAGAGACAGGGAAGGAAATGTGCAATGTTTTTTTAAAGAAGGACCCGATGTAATAAATACGCTAAGGCGAATGTCCCGTTCTTTTGTTAAAATAAATATAGATGGCGCATGAAAATCATCGTGCAAGGCTGGCTTGGCTGTGTCATTCGAGATTGTCTGTCGAGGAAACTAAGGCAGAGGCACACTTGCACTTGCACTTGCAGGACTGATATTAGCTAAAGCCATGGTCTGCGAAACATCATGATTGAAAGGGATTCCAAAGTTCGGTGGAACTGGATTCGTAGATAAGCAAACAAAGTAGCACATGAAGCTGCTAGTCTGGGTATTGAGAGGCTGTGTTGTCAACGGTGGGCCTCGAAGCCTTCTCCCTCTCTGGATTTTGGTTTTGCCAAATGATGAGCTGCCATGTCCATCGAGGAATGTAAATCAAGGTTAGGCATAGCTTAACTCTACTTACCTTTCTTTTAGCGCCCTTGTGGCTAGATCAGTGATGCGACTCGTAAGGGAGCTTGCTGTGTAATGTTGCATTGTGTTCATTTATTTATCTTTATATACGGTTTTTATGAGAATCTCAATTGATCCGAAAAAAAAAAATATGCCTTATGAAATTTATAAATCGTTAGTACATTGCAATTTTATTTGTACATATCCAATCCTCTCCAATGCGCAAACTTGTGTTTATGATTTCATAACTTTCTACTAAATTTTAATACATGTTTTCCTATCTAATTTTAGAAAGTTATGAAATGTGCATGAAATAATTAAACACAAGAAACGGGGGTGTTTGAGTCATTTCGTGTTGCAAACAAAATTGAGGTTCACACGCTATGAACGTGCTATTGAGATTTCATATAGAAATGGCAAACCACAAATCTTAATTCCCAAGTGATAATTGCTTAAAGCCTAAAAGCATTTGGGGAAAGCGTCCATACAAGGAATGCGTGTGTTTCGTGTTCATGTTGACCTCAACCTCAACCAAAAAGAAATAAATAACGTGGTGATGTTACACAAATGAGTAGTATTGGTTGTGATTTAGCACTATTTTTGAGCAATTGGTACGATAATCATTAATTGGATAAATATGTACAAATCGATGAGGATAGGGTGCATACAAAAGGCCTTGATAAAAATCTTACCAAAGATTTCAACCTAGTCTAAGGAAAAAAGAGTGCCCCACACCAAAAAAATTAGAGCGTGTTTGGATGTACTTTTAAAATGATTGAAAGCGCTTTTGGTAAAATGTTTTTAGAACCAATTTTTAGTAAAGATGCAAATAAATCCTGGAAAAGCACTTTAAGTGCTTTTGGAACCCAAAAATATTTTCTCTAAAAGCGTTTTTAGTCATTTTAAAAGTATTTCCAAACGATCCCTTAAGAGTTACTATCTTTAAAGAGAAGGTCCAAAATTACATCAGGAGGTTCTTCAAACCAAAGAATAGGATTTACACAATTCAAACTCATTTGTGCTAACCTGTGCGAGACTTTATTCGTTTCCTGAGTTCAATCCTCCACCAGGGCAACGATTTAATCATCATTCTGGTGTCATGTAATATATTTACAAACGACGAAAAATCATCCTAACCATCATGTTTGAGGGTTGCTATGACAAGTAGCGCATCACCCTAAAAAATAGTGGCTTATAGGTTTTCCTGTCTGACTATGACCAAATCTGTTGCATCTTTGTCTGCCATAAGTTCAGCCAGTAGTGGGGAAGAGATGGCATCATGCCTAGTCGACAAGGTTGCCATAAATGCACCTTTATTGTCCCAGATCACCACCCTAACCCCACCAACGCTCCTCTATTCGTCTCATACATGCTCCTATGTGACTTTCTTCTTTCTTAAATGATCCCGAGTTGGTAGTGCATTCTAGCAAATCCGTCAAACACAAATCTTCACTTTCTCTGGTACCCGAGCCCTCCACAAAGCTTTCCATAAGAATTTAACTTCTATGGAAATTGTGAAATTCCCATTCGGTTCCGCATTCCAAATCAAGCGATCTTGCGGTTGCAACATACTAATGGGTATGCTTTGAATCAAAAGAGCTTTTTGTTAGTGCAATATTGGCAATTCTTGACAAAATGCATGAGTCTGTAATAGCTTAGACTTGTTATATATTCTCAATTGTAATTGTTTAAGTCTAGGGAGGTCTCTTACTCTTTTGATGAGAAGATGTTACGTGAACAAGATACACATTCAGGTATGTTTGCATGCATGCATCCAATTACATTCATCTATATCTCATGATATTGTATTTGAGATAGGTCTTTTATTAAAACTACTTTCAAGATAATTTGATTGTATTTTCAAAAGACTTATCTGATTGCATATTGATGAGAGTTATCCAACTAAATGGATTGCATGGTTGTCATTGTTTTAAAAAATAAGTTGTTGCCGTGTGTATCTAGGATTTGTGGTTTTAAAAGGATTGTCATTTACCTAAAACCTATTATTAGTTATAAAATCTTATCAGTTCCAAATTGGTTCCCGTGCCTTGAGGGTTTATAAGGAATGTTTGAAATTGGTTTTGCGTAAGCCGTATATGCATGAAATTTTTGTTCTTCGAAAAAAAGGTAACAAAAGGCAGCAGCGTGTTTTTGTCAAAGAAAAATTATTTTTATGTTGCTGCCATCTTACGGTTTCAATAACATGTGTTTTTAAAGAGAAAATATTATTTTCATGCTGATTTTCATTTGGTTTTTTATTGAATGTCAATTATGAAAATGTGCCTTGTGATTTTCGTAATTGATTGATTTTTCAACCAAACACTTCATCATATAAACATTATGCATGATCGAGTTAGTATCTTGCAAAGTTCGAGGAAAAGGTGATTGACGATCGTGTTAGTGTCGTGCCACTTCAACTCGAAGACTGAAGAAAGATCGAGTAGCAAAGCGCGAAGACAAAGCTGCCAACTAGTATGGTTGTCTAGTTGATGAGTTCTTGTAAGTCTTTATGTATTCTTTCTTTCTTAGTGCTTCCTGGCTTGGTAGCCCAAGGATTTTCCCAGTGGTGGGTTTTGCCTCGTTAAATCCTACATCATGTGCGTACTCTTTATATTTATTTTGACTATTTGTGTAGGGATTAGTTTACATTACTGATTAACTTAAACCTTAAATTGCTTTAGTTTTAAGTTGAAATTTAGTTACATTTCTAGGTTAAATTAGTACCCATCCTAGGACTTTCACTTCTTCCAAAAATAATGTATAAGATCCAAATTCCACCTAACTCCCTCTCTAGTGAAATCAATTTATTCACCTTATTCAATTGATTCATTCCCACCAAGATAGGACTGAGCATCTTGAAGAAATTTTTCCTTGGTAACGAACTATCACCTCACACTTTAATGGTTGCACCATCCCCCACTCTCCACCTAGCTCCTGCTCTAATTATTTTATGGGCTTCTGCTATGTTTCTCCAACAATATGCCGAGTTCTTTTTAACCGGAGCCAAAAGGAAATCTGTTTGCAGATAATACTTAGCCTTGAAATTTCGGGACGCCAAAGAAGATTGTTGGCGCATTAACCGCCACCCTTGTTTGGCAAGCAAAGCAAGATTGACAGTATAAATATTTTTGAAGCCAAGACCACCCTTTCCTTTCGGCTTACACAAATTTTCCTAGCGAAACCAATGTATCTGTTGCTTCCCTTGTTCCTTACCCCACCAAAATTGTGCCACCATTTGATTCAACTCATCACAGAATGTTTTCGATAACAGAATATATTGCATCATATACATAGGAACGGCTTGGGCAACACTTTTGATCAAAATCTCTTTTCTGGCACTACTCAGGAGGCTTCATTTTCACCCATTTAGTTTCTTCCAATGTCCATCTTTGATGTAAGCAAACGTATTCTTCTTCGATCTTCCCATAAACACTACGTGCGAAGATAAGAATCATGGAAAGGAACCTGAGGCATATTTAGACGATTTGCCAATAATTGGCCATCATAATCAGTTAAGTTACCGCTAAACGCTACAC